TAGGACGTTTTTGAAAGTGTAGGTGGTAATTTGGCATATTCCTGGAAAAATTGAGAAAGTGGAATCGGTTATGGTGCACACTGCAGCTCAAATAAAGAATAAGATCACAATCAAAAGTTTAACCACGTGGATGCAAGAACCGCTTGGATTGTCCATAATACGACCTACCGCTATGTCTTCGATGAAGGACAGCCAGAAGGGGGCTGTTACTCAAATAATATGGTTTTCACCATACAACACGCTCGATACGAATGGTAGAATTCAATCGTTACCGGAGGACACCAGTCTTGAGGATTTATCGTCGCAATTTATGACTGCCGGCGAGGATGGCACGATCGCTTTCTGGGACTTGAAAGACGAACGGTTGATTTCTTTTTATTAACTTCTAAAAAAACAATAAAATATCTTTTATTACGATTATAATAATGTCTATATTCTTTTATTTTTTCCTATATTATTGTATAGGATTGTACATAAATAGTAATTTGCTGAATTATTATTTTCAATTAAAATATGATTGTTATGATTTTCAATTTTTGTGAGTAAAACATAAAAATGTATTTTTCTATTATCATTAAAATACAATCATAATTTAGTTTACTATTACTTATTATTTATTACTCTACTATATTTATTTTTATTTATTACAAGATGGCAGAAGTTCGAGAAGAAACGTCGTCCAAAGAGGAAAGTCCAGACGAAACGACCGGAAGCGTTAACGAAGTCCATTTCCCCATTCAAGAAACTAGATCGCGTCTTCAAACCACACTATCTCTTAACCGTCCAACTACCTAACGAAAGTCGAAATGCAGTGATCACCACCATGACAACTTTTGTACAGAAATTCAAGAAAAAATGCGTGGATACCATTCGACCTACAGAAGATATTACGGTCAGGAAAACATTTAGAAACATAATCAAAAAGCCAGATTTCGTTATGCAACCACAGATACACATTGGCACTGTGGAAGGTATAAAAAAGGGAAAAAAAACGAGTATCATTTATAAAACAGAGAATTTAAATTGGTCAGCCTAGACGCATTAACCCAATTGGATAATTTTGTCCCATCACCGTTAAATAGGTGATTTTGGTTGCGTCACGTGGGAAGGATATGATTTCACCACAGACTTGGCTATTAATACTGAAACGTGTAAATGGTCCTGGATCAAAAAAGTACACGATGGTCCAATAACCCATGCTCTTAGATCCAGAGATGATGGAAGCCTGATCGCCACTATAGGAGGAAAGATATTTGCCCTTTGGAAGGAGGATCTGGGTATACCATTGATATGGAAGAAATCAGACGCCTCGTATGTCTGGAATTTTGAAATACTTAATTATAGCGTATACGATGTATACATATAGGTATATACCAAGATCGTGCGATAGCAGTGATCCAATACTTGGTAATAAAGAGCTTCACTCTAAAGGCCATCCAAGGTATTATATTGCTGTTTCCACACTTTTGTCACTTTTCTCTATTTCATCGCTGAAAATTGTCAATTTTGTAAAACTTTGAACTCAATAATGAGCTTGAGTATCATTAGAGCTCAGTAATAACCAATGTTCACCTAAGTGAAACTTAAATAGAGGTTGTAATTAATATATGAGTAGCCTAAACAAAAGCATAAACCATAATTTCGCTATTTTTTCAAATTTCTTTGTATTTACACAGAAAATAGAAACCAAAAATAAATAAATAAATAAAATAAAACCAATGATAAAATATTTTTAAAAACGAAAATAAATGTTTCTCCTTTTCTTGATACAGGCTCACTGCAGTTTCGTGGGGCAGTTTCCGACCCACGATATTGATCCTGACGCGAATAGACGGCAGCGTTGAATTGTGGGATTTCATGGTTAAAAGTGAAGAACCGTGCGTGCTGCAGAGCTTGTCGGGACGCATAATCACGGGAATTTACACTCATGAGTTAACCTTCACGACCACCCAGTGCGTAGGATTCTGTGACTTTAATGGTATTTTGAGGATGTTACAGGCCCCGACTATTTTTCTCAAGACAGACATGACCACCTTTAACTGGATGAGAAACTTCGTTGAACGACAAATCACAAGAGTATTCGATAATTAATAAATAGAATTCTTAATAAGTTAGTAATTTCATACAGAAGAATATATTCGTTAACTTCAGGTAAAAAATTGCAAGAGTTGGCAAGAAGCGTGGATAGAGGCGAATTACGTAGTCATCGAAGAGGAGAAAAGGAAGAAACAAATGGAGGAGGAGAAAAAGAAGCAAATGGAGGAAGGGATGTCCACGACTGCTGCGGTTGAAATGGAAACTGTCGTGGAGATTCAAAAGAAGAGTTTGGTACGTTCAAGTTCGGTCAACCAATGTGTTAATTAGAGGTTCGAGGCTTTCATGATTTGGATTGTTCGAATGCCAAGCATTGGTTACCAACCAGATGTTTTTAATTGGTCAGCTGTACAATTTAAAGAGAACCAAGAAAAACGTCTTCCAGATGGACTTAATCAATTGGTATCCAGTCTAAAAACCGAAAACCTCGATTAATAATTCGAACAATATGTTAACTGTGGTAGTGAATGTATTGATAGAAACCATGGGAGATCATCGAAGCGTCACGTGAAAGATGGAAAGCGAGGGAGTTGAAACATATGCAGCAGGTGATCCTAGAGAAGAAAGGTCTGAAAAAGGACGATCTGGAGAAGCAGCGTGAACCGATTCTGAAGTTGCGACAGGAGGCGAAGAGGAAGAAGCAACGTTTACGCGAGGCATTGCAGATGCAAGAGAGCACTTTTGAGCACACTAAGAGCCTCTTCTTCCCCAAGCATCAACCGGAGCCGAAACGAATCTCTGTTGTACCCACTGGGAGAGTCGAAGCTGTTGCTGTGGAGGACACAATACTTGCACAGGAAGTACAAGTAACTGGAAAAAGCAACAGTTACATTTAGAGTTGCAACAGTTATAGTAATTCTTTTTTCTTAATTAATTGTAAGGATATGCATCATGTTGATCCAAATGAGGAGATCATCTATCACTTCATGGAAACTCAGGCTAAGATATTAAACGACATGCAGAAGACACCGTTCCAGCACATTTTCAATTGGAGAGAAATTTTAATGAAAGGCAAGACCAGGCGATTATCGATGGATACTGAATTGAGAAAACTGAACAAGATCAAGAAAAAGCGGAAAAGCTGAATGACCTGTATAAGAAAATAAAAATGTGTTTTAGTAATAAATTCTAATTTAACGTAAAAGCGTAAGATTACGTTACGGTACGAGGATTAAAAGATTCTAGTTATGACTAGAAATTAGAGAAGGCAAGAACAGTTGACGAAGCTTCAATTACACGAAACAGTGCTGCCGTAGGTGAATCACAATCAGGTGATTCACGTTCGTAAGTGAACTAGTAAATAATAGTTTGTAAATATAATATCCGTTATAAGAAGGATTCAAGCAGACAAAAGAGAGTAATCCGCGCTGTAATTATCCACATTTTTCGTCTTACACATCGTAAATGTTCTACCACACTGTTTTCTCTAGACAATCATGAAATCTTCCAGTAGAAGAAAAAAAGTGGTCCAACGAAAATCTTCATTTAACATGGTGGTTTAACCGGTTGTGTTGCTCAAACGTGTTCTCCTATTCTTCTTTTCTGAATCTATAATTACCTGAAAGTTGTTTCGTGAAATTTTCCACGAATGATTGATTCCATGATAGAAATATTATGCAAACTGTTATGTGTTAACAACTGATAAATGTTATTCATCAAAAATAAACAATCCAAGACAGTAAAGA